ACCACCACTTCACACCTCTAATGCAGTCGACACCTCCTCCAACTGCAGATGGAGAAGTTGTGTTTTCATGATGGTCGTGGAAACGTCACGTGGAAGTGTCTTCTACCTGAGTGTCTTCTACCTCAGTGTCTTCTACCTCAGTGTCTTCTACCTCAGTGTCTTCTACCTCAGTGTCTTCTACCTCAGTGTCTTCTACCTCAGTGTCTTCTACCTCAGTGTCTTCTACCTCAGTGTCTTCTACCTCAGTGTCTTCTACCTCAGTGTCTTCTACCTCAGTGTCTTCTACCTCAGTGTCTTCTACCTCAGTGTCCGACCAGCGACACGACGGTTCCTTAGTACTGATCCCAGATCAAATCATTTCAGTTGATTGGATTTGGATTTCACCCTCCTGTGAAGTCTGATTTTTTTTTTTTAGTAAAACTCTGATGTGGAGAAGGATTTGGATTTCACCCTCCTGTGAAGTAAAACTCTGATGTGGAGAGAATCAAAGATCAGAGATGATTGAAATCATTGTCTTATTTCTTTCTCTTTGATGTTTCAGAGACAAGGACCAGGAGCAGATACTGGTACTGACAAGGCTTCAGGAGGACAAGGTGAAAACACACACACACACACACACACTGAATGACACAGTCTGTGGATCAGTCACTGACCGTGGATCAGTCACTGACCCTGGATCAGTTCAGTCCTGACCGGCTCCGTTCAGCGCTCTATAAATCCTCCTTATTGTTGAACTTCCTGTCATTGAACCTGTCACATAAACAACATCGGTGAGAGAAGAAGTTTGACTCCGCCTCCTCCTGATGATGTGGCTCCTCACGTCTGAGGGAATTAACAGATTTAATGAGGCTGTAAAGAAGGTTCAAGAAGAAGTGAGAACACCGTGTGGTCGTCTGTCGCTGCAACAGAATCGAAGACAAACGTCAGAGCTGAGTTTGAAAAACGCTGAGAGAAGAAAGAAGAGCTGGGTTTACAGGACGTGAACCAATCAGCACCGACTCTTCAACCTTAATTTCTAACAGATTCATCTGTGTTTTACTGTTTTTAATCATTTCTCGTCGACGTCCGACATCTTCCGTCTCCGTGGCTGCAGATCCAGAGAGACTTCCTCTGGACGTTGACACAGTGTAAAAAACAAAATCACACACAGGGGAAATCAGTGTTGAACCTGGCTTTCATGTGGATTGAATATTGATTGTCACGGTGCTGCCCCCACCCCCCCCCCCCCCCGCGTCCATTCTTCAGGCTGCAGTGACCGGTCCAGTTTAAATTCTGCCTTTTAACAAATGACAAGAACAACAAGAAAAACCAACAACCAGGAACAAACTGAACCCAGCCAACAGCGCCACCTGG